TAATGCAATATAATCTTGCAAATATGCCATAGAATCTTGCAGTTTTATTTTGGGTGTTTGGTTGAACGTGTTATCCAGAACATATCCATATCCAGGGAATATATTTTAAAACGGAATTAAAGACAAGTCTAGATATAGCTGGAATTAGGGCGTAACAACCTTTGTAAACAATGACTTCTATCGATGATTTCTAGGAACTCAAGGCACACCCATGCAAACCAACACAACCTACAGGTAGGGGAAGTCTTCCTCTACCAGATGGTATTGTTGATTTGCGTTGGCGAGCCTTAACTTTCTAGAAATCATCGAAAGAAGTCATTGTTTACAAAAGCTGTTACGCCCTAATTCCAGCTCTATTTAGAAGTGTTTCATATACGGAAATATACCAAGCGGAAAGTCCAGAAACAGTTTGAAAAACAACTAATAAGATTGAGGAAATTGCCATTTCAAGGAGAGGAAATAAATGGATCATGAACTTATTGAAAACTTTCTGTAATTTCTATATGGGGTACACTTTGTGAAAACCGAAAATGCAACATGTTACAAAATTATGAAAGATTTTGAACGTTGATAACTCAGCTGCCCCTGAACCAATTTCAATAATTTTATCACCAATCGATCAGAAATATTTCTACGCATCTGTTGAATTTGAGACTTTATCAGTTTTCACTGATGAAAATTGCACGAATGAGCAACTGTTGCTATGATAGTTAATATTATCACCGATTGCCTGCTAAAAGCGATTTCCAAGACACAGATTTCAAAGTTGAATTCCATCCGGTCTCACCAAACGGTGTTTATTCAATCACCACCTGGTGAATGGGGGTGTTCTCCAGTACACAAGGAAAGGCTCTCCGCAAGCAGCTAGCTATCAAGGATGGCCTCAACCGCTGATCGGATTCAGTTCCAATCACCGTGTGTGGTGGTGTCCGGTTGTCGGCATCATCAGCAGCAGCAGTGCTTTCGGCGTTGAACATTATACACAACGAAAGGCTGCCTGGAAGCAGCGAGCTGCAGCCCACATGAGCATCCATAGAAGGAGGAAGCAGCCGCACCACTATTGATCGGAATCAGTAGCTCTTCGTGAGTCGCTGTGGGCCATCTATGTCAAGCGCGTCATGCTAAAGAGTATAAACCGAGAGAACCCCGCTCAAATTCCTATTCCTACACAAAACACAAGCTCCTGCTGCAGTTAACAAATAAGATTTATTATATAATACCACGTAGTCCTACGTCACAATTGCGTACAACCCATTGGGCTGTCCCTTGTAGTTTTTAACGCATTTTTTGAAATCTAAGGCTTCCAACTTTCCAGATCAAGAAGTAAATAAGCCAGGATATTGGAACCAGATTTTTATCGAAAAATCATAAAATTTCTGATGAAATTGTCTATGACTCACAAATATAAAAAAAATATATAAAAACAAAATATTAGGCCCTTATTACGAGTGTCACTTTACGGTGAAAACGAAGTGAAGTGACCACTTGTCACTCACGGTGAAGTGATTGCCGTGTAAATCAAATAGGAATCACTCCACCGTGAAGTGACATCGGTAATAAGGGCCCTTCCTAAGGCCATTCCATCAACACCAATTGGACAGTAGTTCTATTCAAATTTGTTAAAGGCGAATTCTTTACTCTTAACTCAACAATTGCTGCTCAATTGGTCGTAAAAAAGTGACGTTAGTATCTAAATTTTAAGACATACCTAGTGACTTTTGGGTGAAAAAAGATACTTTTTAGTAACTGACTTGAAAATAGCAGGCCAGTGACAAGACCTATACTAACAGAAGCGTTTGACAGGAGGCAGTATGTCCTGGGCTCAAATCGTTGCTGGGCCCGCTGTTACGGTACACTGAAACAAAGACCATAGTTAGGAATACTATTTTGCAGAAAACACTTATTTTCAATATAACTACGCTTAATGCCGTTAAATCTACCATGATTTCAGTATAGTTGACTAAAAATATAATCAAATTTACTACCATTCTGTCAAAACTACTATGCTTACTCAAACGGCATAGTAGTTTTGATAGAAAAAATAGTAAAATTAAATGAATTTCGTTTCTGCACAAATCTATTGGTGGGAGTATTTAATTTAAACCGTCAATATAGTATTTTTGCCAATAGATTTTGTTTCTGTGTATAACCGTATAACCGTATAACCACCGACAAACCGACATGAAACATAAACTTAACTCTTGATCGAGAATCCATAACGGCCGATTCAAATGTGCAGCGATCCCATCTGTCAAAACCATAGAAATGTTTTAGATAAAAATAATTTGTCCGAAATAGATTAGACACGAACCAACTCATAAATTTTGTACGCGTGTTCGTGCGTAGGATAAATAGTTTCCGCGAACACGGCGGCAGATGTCGGTTTTGTGCTTTGATAAGAAATTTCTTTGTAATTTGTATGATCATTCAAGTCGGTTTGTCGGTGGGAAAATCAGCCCTGCATTTAGAAAGATTGGTATAAATTGGCGTTGACGGCACCGTCGAAAAATTGTCTCTGCTAGCAAAGATTGACAGTTTCTTATGGGATTTTTCGGTGGAGTAAAAAGATAGTATGAAGTCCGCCATGTTTCACGCACAGTCTGACGTTTGCTTATGAATTTTATCATAGGAGTAAAGAGCTGCACAGTCGCCGTCAACGCCAATTACAAATACTTTTTGACATATTTGCCATATTTGCAATGCCAACACGGTAACTCACAACAACTCAAAATTGAGTCGAACATGCCCATTTCAGGGGGAAGTATGGCTACTCAAAAGTGAGTAGATGCACTTTTACTCACTTTTGAGTAAATAACGTTCTCGCGCAGAGTGAGTCAAAACCACTCTGTGATATTTTCAGCCGGGAAGTTTCTTTTTTTTTTATTTGTTTTGATAAAAAATGGAAATTACCTGCTCCAGGTTCATTTAACTGGAGCTGAAGACGACTGAAAACCGTCTCCGCATGCAATTCCTACTCACCTTAATTAATTTCGGTCTTTATTTATTTATTTATTTATTTGTCAGCATCAACAGACTCGATATGGTCCCAATGATGGTTTAACTTAAAATCAAAATTAAAGTCATAAGTTAAAACTACAAAACATTAAAACATGATCATTGACTGTTTCCATTTCTGGAGAAGAATGAAGAGAAACGTCTCCGAAGTGTTAGTCGTGGCAGGTGAAAATCGAATACTGATGAAACTCGGTTAAATACTCGCTGCAGTCCGCCTATTGCACCGTTGATTGCATAGTTTGTCCTACGTAGTGGCATTCTCAGCATAACATTGTTAACGGTCGGTGTTATAAAATAATTTCGCCGTTTCTTAGATCGTTTGCTCCGACACAGCTGGCTTTTACTCAGTTTGACATTTCTCGTTTACTCAGATTTTGACCGAGGGGTTTCTACTAAGCTTGTAAGGTGGTTGGTAATCAAAAAATACAACAAATTATAAAATAATTAGTGAATTTTGAATTACTACGGGGGTGACCTCGTTGTAGTGGTTAGCATCCATACCTCTCACGCCAAAGCCATACCTCTCACGAGTTCAAATCTCACCCCCGGAAATGTTAGAATGACGCAAGAGCGTTGAAGTGACCATAATAAAAAAAAACAATTGTGGGTAATTTCTGTAATTTGAGTAATTCCATAAATATGTGTACTCTGTAATTATCATATTCTTTATTATTCTAAGTAAATTTTATGATTTTAACTGCTTCAGATATATGTTATTATTAAATTAGTGAAAATCGAATTGAGAAATTTTTTAAAAAAAAATTTTTTGGTGGTTACATTTGTTATGTCACGCTAAATTGAGGAAAAATTAAGCCCCCTCGACCCCTTTCGTTTTGTTTTTCCTATACCTAATGCATTGCTTGTCACAAAATCATAAACCCTCCCTTGCCATCACCCCTTAGCGCGATAATCGATATTTTTCAGTGTCAACATTTCAAAGGGGCGTAATTGCTTTTGTAAACAATGGCTTTAGCCGTCGATTTCTCGCTAATAAAAGCCCACCCTTCCAAATTACCAATGCTAGCTGGTACCGGAAACATTTCTCTACCTGCTGGTGTCATTCATTTTAATGAGTGAGCTTTCATTCGCGAGAAATCGACGACTTAAACCATTGTTTACAAATGCAATTACGCCCCTTTGAAATGTTGGCACTGATTTGATTGCCAATTATGTTGAAATTCGCATAAGTTATGTCCAAATCCAAATCAAAATATAAGCAACAGACGAGTCTTGCAATATTGAAATATAGTTTTTACAGTAAAACTTTCAAATTCAGTTTAAAATATTAGTTTAACATAATTCCAGTTTTGTTTTTTTTTTGCTGTGCATCTCACTTTTATTAATCGAGCTTGGATTTCATCGTATTTCTCTAACAATTCCATATTTGGAAACATTGTTAATCATTGAATAATTGAGTAATTCCAAAGTAACTCCTAACATTTTTCAAGTATTCGTAGTAATTTCGGTAATCAAGAATAATACAAGTAATTTAAAAGCAATAAAGTAATTTTTATTAATTGAAAAATAATCAGAGTAATTTTCGGTAATTTGACTGACACTGGTAGAAACCCCGCGATTTTGACAACCTAATGCATCAGACGAAATTGAGTACGATCGACTCACCCGGTGAGGAAGCTGAAGTAAGCGTGAATACCACGCTGCAGTTTGAATTTGGATATGGCAAAAGCATTAACTTTCACCTTAATTAGAACTTTTACAATGCATATCCCAACCGTATCCATGTCCCCTGGCTCTATAATCCGATTAAATGCACTTCCTTATAATCACTCTACATCTATACCATTAACGCGTCTCTTTGTCACAGTTGAAGTGGCAGTTTAATTTACCCGCAGAGGGCGAAACAGGCGGGGTTTCCCTCAAAGAGCGATGATAATGCGTGACAAAGCGATGCCATTGTGCGATTAGTCACACACTTATAGCAAATTGATTTTCGTGCTAATTTCCCCCTCTTATTACCTTTCCAGATCCCACTGGAGCTGGCCCTGCAGTTGGGCAATATCACCAGCAGTGACGACGTGTTCACCAATGGCTTGGTCGAAGAGGATTCGATTGATCAGCGTATCTTCAACAAGGGTAAGTTCTTTGACAAACAAAAAAAAAGTCTGCTGAAAGTTTCCAAAATAAAATGGATATATTTACAAAATATATTAACGTAATAGGGAATCATTAAAACGACTATTTGTATGAGAAACAATTATTCGATGGCTCAGAACCGCAACGGTTTCCGCACGGTTGAAGAACCGGTAGCAAGCTTCCGGTTTTTCGCCGCGGATCCGCCAGGGCTTCCGCCGGTGGGGTGATTCTTTCGAGGCCACGTTTGTAGAGTATTGTTGTTGTTGTTGTTGTTGTTATTGTTATTGCTGTTACTGCTACTAGTAGGGCTATCGTCGGCAGCAATGGTAAAGTTCATGATCGCTCGGGACCTTCGGGGAGACGTTCGCATCCCAGCCGGCGGAATACGACGCTGCCTGTGGGGAGTTCCCGGTGGTTCCAGAGGCGTATGGGGTGGTGTTACCTCGGCTGGCGGAGGCGATGGCACGGGTGGAGGCGTTTCTGGAAGGGGACGAGCTTCCGGTGAAGCATTTGCTGGTTGTAGTCTGATCGGAGAGGGGGGTTCCGGTGCGTCCGGTGGTTCCTCCGTACCAACTTGTGGTTGTTCATCGCAGAAAAGATTCCGCCGAACTTTGCTCGAACGAGGAGTCAGATCTTCGTAGATGATAAGGGCGAACTGGTGTTCCTGAGTGTGAACGTGCTTTCGATAGGACAGTTTGAGTTTGGTTCGCTTGTCGCTGGGAGCACTGCTGCCCGGGGTGGACGGAATGGGAGTACTGGTGCCGTCCGCCGTTGGTGATGAGTCCTCTCGGGGAATGTGATGTGTGGTACGGGTACCACGGTGCTTCGATTCGTTGCACGATCGTACGGTGCCGATCGCTTCCAGGTACTGTAGCTCGGAATACACATTTTGGTGGGGTTGAACCAAGGAGGGCATTGGTGAGTCTCGGTTGGGGTCGGGTTCGTCCTCTTCGTCATCACTGGAGGAGGAAAGTGGAAGGAATTGGCGGCCTGCGGTTAAGGGAGGTGGCTCGGAGGATATCGGGTGCAACCGGGGAGGCGTTTCGAAGCTGAGATTCATGTCTGGGGATGCTGATTTGTCCGAGGATTTGTTTTCGGGCAAAGATGTGGTTGGTTCTGCTAAGGTGGTAGATTGTACGGTCAGGTTCTCCGGCGGTGTTATCATTCTGTAGTGAGAAAAGATAGTTAGGCATTTTGAAACATATAGGAGAACGTTGGAAACATACGTAGACATGTGAGTTTCACGTTCCTCGAATGCCGCAACCGTATTGGCGTTCGTGAATCTCTGTACCAGTCCAGCTTGCTGTTTGTATCGCAGGAATTTCACGATCCGTGACCTGCCCCTAACGGTTACCCCTTTCCACTCGAGAATGGCATTCGAAGCTAGTTGGTCATCTAATCGGTTGATTTCGCTCGAACAAAGCTCTATATACTGTCGTAGAATTCCACGAGGGTCGGTCATCTGAAAACAAAGAAGAAGCAATAATTCCCTGTCATTAGTAAAAGGTCTATTATATCACTTCACAGGATATGGAGAACGATCGGCCGGGGAGACACCCAAACCTGCCGGATGCAACACGGAAGCAACGATAGTAAGTCTACGTCCGGCGAACAACACCGATCCTAGATTGATCTTCAGCCCCTCCTGTACCCGAGTGCAGCGCTGCAGCGGCTGTTGCGTATCCAAACGGCTTTCATGTCAACCGACTTCGACCCGGCAAAGAGCTTTCTCGGTAAGTTATTAAAATCCACGCAACCGTTTCAGATTCTAAAACTCTTGCTTATTCGTAGGTCAACATCCTCGAGTACTTATCCGGTGTCAAGACCCGCTTCAAGAACCGCGATATAGCCCTAATCGAAGAGCATGTGGGTTGTGCCTGCCAGTGTCGGGTCAAGGAGGAACACTGCACGCCGCTGCAGAAATACAACGCCCGTAACTGTCGGTGCGAGTGCAAAAACTTAGACGACCGATCCAAATGTCTCCAGCAGAGTGACATCAAACAGTGGAACCCGGAGACGTGCCTGTGCGAATGTCTAGATCCAACGGATTGTACCAGCGGGTCGTACTATGATCAGAACGCTTGCAAGTGCCTACAGGTAATTGAAACTGAGATCTAAAGGGCTAGGTGTTTTCTTGCAATCTTGGCGCAGAATGTGATTCATTCGATTTTTCCTAACCGAGCAAATGTGTGCCCCTTTCTGGGCCAGGACACCGAAGGTGAACCCCCATCAACTAACCGGATGATTTCGTTTGTTTTTTCTCTCCCCCATTTTTTAGTACGAATACTACAGCATACATTAACACAACATGCACGCCAAAAGAAACCCAATCGATCGCACTATTTTTTTTTAAATTATCATCACTGTAGTACTAGTAGTAGTAGATAGGTTTCGAATTCCTATAGAAACGATCGATAAGCATTTTCTGATTTGATCCTACCTATAAGACAAAACATAAAAAAAGTGCCAAAAAACAACACATGAACGAATGACTCGTGTGAAATCTTAAATATATTCAAACTATCTAATCTAACAAAAGCTGGAACTGAGTGCGTGTTGTCTATGTTATGTATTTTGCGTCCGCGTGTGTCCTTCCGCGCCCTTCACTCTCGGCATTGATCGACAGATCGATTCCCCCTGCGCGTTGGGTTCTTATTCCGTGAGTATGATTATCATTTGAGAGAGTAGTCGTCTCGACTTGTGGTGTTTATCTGTTGTAACCCGTCCTAAATCTCACTCATAAGCCCCCTTGCATTATACTAAGATCTACGTGACTAATCAAATTACGGGGGAACCCTCAATCGTTTATTAAATGCTTCTCTTGCGTCAGGACTAATGAATTAACAAGCAGGTGCGGTGGTGATTTTCTGTTACGTGCGAGGAATATGCTGTTGCTTCCCATTTGCTATATCTATAATTTTCTAAGCTTTGCTTTGTGTAGGACAGTGGGAGCTTTTGGGCGGTGGTTTGTTGTTGAAGTAACTATAATACACGTATTTGCCTCCTTCGGTAATTGAGAGTTGATAGATTTATTGAACCTCAGAGTTGGTTGGAAATGCTAACATGAAGCTTTAGTGTGATGATTTATTAGCTAGAGAATGATCTTTAGAAGAGGGTAGGTGGATAGTTCCGTTAGAGTACGGCAGTATGAAAATTGAATAGAAGTTGAAAATGAGCGAAGGGCCATTAATGCGACAGTTTTTAAAGATCGACGCACATTTTTGCCTAACCCGTACGATGTACGCGGGGACTTGAAGTATGTCATATAATCATTACACTACTTAGACCACCCGCACCGGTGCGTTGCTAGTTCAACAACTTTAGCCGTTGCTATTTTAGTTAGCAACCTGATTTCGCACCGGTCGGTGCTATTACGATTGTTAATTTATGTTTTGGACTTTCGCACCGGTAGTTGCTAAGCATATCGTCGAACTTCGAGCTGAAACTGATCGCAGAGCTTTGTGATTTTTTTGTTCGATAATATTGACATTTCTAATCAGGACCCAGGAGTTCAAGCAACGGTCTTCCGGAAGATCCGATACATCCGTAAAGGTTGTCAATTCGTAAAAAAATTGTGATTCTATTTTAATGAATTTAAATCTGAGACCAGCATGCTGGTGGCTACGGAACAGTCCGTTGGAAGATCTGCACACTTAGTTTTGACGTAGGACTACGTCTTTTATTTCTATACTTTACACTTTGTGAAAACCGAAAATGGAACATGAAACAAAATTATGAAAGATTTTCAACATTAATAACTCAGCTGCTCCTGGACCAATTTAAATAATTTTATCACCAATCGATCAGAAATTTTGGTAATGTCAAGCATTGTCCAAGGTACAAATAAAAATTGATCATTTTATCACTGTTTTCATGAAATAAACGTTCTTCCCAAACCCAGTCCTCATAATCGAGTACCACTTGGTTGCACATCATTCTGCTTTAACCTGAAAAGATAAAAAAAAAGAGCGCTGCTGTATGGCATTAGCTCATCATTCTCTGCTTGCTCGTCAAGCAGTACAGTTCGGCTTTTGCTCGCTCTGACGAGTTGTTCGAAAGTTTCTAGTTTGTTCCAAACGTTCGCAGTTTAATCGCGTCGTCAGTAGTGTCGGTCGCTTCGTGTGATGGGAAGACAGCGCTCCCGGAGCAGGCTCCGAGACAAAAACGGAGAAGAAGAACAGCGGTGAAGGTAGCTTGAGTATACCTATTTCGAATAGGTACGCTACTCTTTCCACCGATGTAGGGAATCCCACCTCAGCCACGGTGAAGCGGTCTAAGAAGAGGAAGAAAAATCAGACAATGCCACCGCGACGAACGTCAGCGTCATTGGTGATTTCGGCGACGGCGTCGACAACGAAACTGCTGCCAGCCCAAGTGCAGCAAAAATGAAGCTTCCTCCACTGGTGGTGAAGCAAGTGCCACTCAACACGCTGATTGGCGATCTCGTATCGCTGGGCGTTGCAGCTGAGTTTAAGATCGGCAGGATCGGCACCCGGTGAGAAACCCTTCAAGGTAGTCATCAGGTGTCTACCAAACTTCGACCCCAAGATGGTCGAAGCTGAAATCAATCGGTACAAGCTAGCCCCAATCGCTGTCTTCCGAATGACAAGGAGAGACGAAAACGTGAAGACGTACCCGGATTGTCTTTTCCTGGTGCACTTCCAGAAAGGGACGGTGACGCTCAATGCGCTGAAAGCCATCCGATCGATCTACTCCATCATCGTACGGTGGGAGCCATACCGTGGCGGCAATCGTGACGTAACACAGTGCCAGCGGTGCCTCAATTTTGGACACGGTACCCGCAACTGCAACATCAAGCCACGCTGCAGCAACTGCGCTCACGAACACGCCACTTCTGATTGCCCTGTGGATGGAGCCTTGGCGTTAAAATGCGCCAACTATGGTGGTGCACATCAAGGTTTCGACAGACAGTGCTCCAAACGCGAGGACTTCAAACGCATCCGAAAGCAGGCGTCAAAAAGGACAAAACCCCAGCGTTCAGGACGGAGGATTTTCCGCCTCTTCGTGCTCCCCAGCAAAGGCAATTCGCGGGTGCAAGCCGCCCCCCTTAATAAGCTTCCGGTGATTCTGCTGGGCAAAGCTCTCCATCCCCCTGGATTCTGGAGACAACCAACAGCGCAAAACAACAACCCCGATCTGTTCTCAGCAGACGAATGGATGGAAATTTTCGTCAACATGTCCGGTGCTCTTCGTAAGTGCCGCAATAAGCCCGAACAGATCGGTAAGTGCTCGGTAAGTTCATCATCCAGTATGGCGTCTAAACCGCTAAGTATCGTCCCCAAGAATGCTTGCTCTGTAAGAGCAAAAGAGATTGAGCTTGCCGACTTGCTCCGCAAGCACAGCATCGACGTGGGCCTTCTAACCGAGACCCATCTAAAGTCCGGCGACAGCTTCTGGTTGCCTGACCACAATTCGGCTTGATCGCACTATCTCCAGGGGGGGGGGGGGGGGTGGTGTTGCGGTCGTCGTCAAGGAATAAAATACCACACTCTGTCCCATATGCGCACTTCTATCATCGAGGCCCTTGGTGTGGAGGTGGAGTCGTCGACTGGATACGTCCAGTTCATCGCCGTTTACTGCCCTCGACAGTGTGCCCGCTTCGTAGTAGGAGGAGATCTAAACGCTCGCCATGAGGCCTCTGGCGGAACTACCAGCAGAACCAGAACGGTCGTCTGCTGTTCGACCACTCACAGCATGGGCTGTACTCCGTTTGGTTTTCGGATGAGCCAACATTTAACTCACCGGCGGGCAACCCATCGACGCTAGACCTGTTCCTGACAAATATCGGTAGCTTTGAACGAATTCATCTCCGACCACCAACCGGTGGTGGCTGAACTGGGCTGCAACGTGGTTCCTGCTTCAAGTCTGCGCAAGGACTATCATCGCGTAAACTGGGCCCAGTTTGGACGCGTGGTAGACAGGCACATCATCGACAATCCGCCGCTTGACTCCGTGGAGGACATCGACCGAGCGTTGGATGGACTCCACCAAGCCATAACCATGGCTGACGAGGTGTGCGTCCGACGAGTTCCTGTGAGGGGTAAGTTTAGTTTATTGCCATTGATTCCCACAGCCAACTCTTGATTCGCCTGAGAAATGTTCGTAGACGCCAGTTCCAGCGAGGAAACGTGAAATGGCCGATCTGAACAAGGAGATTGCTTCCAGAATGGTCTCACTACGGAACGAAAGTTTCGGGTGGATTGTCCAGAATCTGGACGACCGCTCCAGACCAAGGTCTTAAAGACGCACCCTAAACCCATTCCACCACTCAAAGATGAAAATGATGACGATCGGCTCATAATCACCCCTCAGGAGAAAGCAAATGCCATTGGTGAGCATATTGCCAAATCGCACTTGCTTGGCTCCAACATCTAAAGTCCGCTCGAAGTTCAGGTTGAGCAATGCGTACTCAACCTTGATTCCTCGCCTTGTGCCATCCCTCCGGATGAACAGATTTGCTCAGCGCTGAAATGCACCAAAAACATGAAGGCCCCCGCGTTTGACGGAATATTCAACCTAGTATTGAAAAATCTCAGCATGAAGGTTCACTCTCTGCTGGCTGCTGTCTTCAACAGATGCTTCCAAATATCTGGAAGACAGCGAAAATCATACCTATCCGCAAACCCGGGAAGGACCCAACGCTAGCTTCAAGCTACAGACCAATCAGCATCCTTTCAGCGCTGAGCAAATTGTTCGAGACACTTATTCTCAATCGTTTGCTCAAGTTTGTCGAGGAGCACAACATTCTCCTACCGGAACAGTTCGGGTTCAGGAAGGGGCACTCCACAAATCATCAGCTAGTACGGGTGATGAATAACATCCGAAGTAACAAGGCTGTATCCAAGTCCACAGCCATGGCATTGTTAGACGTTGAGAAAGCGTTTGACAATGTCTGGTACAATGGGCTTGTATACAAGCTTTGTAACTTCAACTTTCCTTTGCATCTTGTTAAAATCACCCGTAACTTGGCTTCAGCAAAGGTCGTTTAAGGTATCGTTGAATGGCTGCCTTTCAAACACGTTCTCCATCCCAGCAGGAGTTCCTCAAGGAAGTCTGTTGGGCCCTTTGCTTTACAG